GACAATATCCTCATGCGGGTTGCTTGGGCTGTTACATGATTAATATTTATTCTCAAATATACTTTATTCATTAATATTAATATTTCATTATTATATACATACTGTAATTGAATAGATTTTGTGTCTACATTTAAATAGAATCTGATTTTGTTGGTGCTTAAAGTCATAAAGTGAAAGAGTTCCCATTTACAGCCCTTGTTTTTATGAATATTCTTGATGACGACAATGCTTATAAAAGCAGAAGTTCATCAGCAGCAGAAATAAACAAAGCATAAATTGATCTGGAGTGGAGTGATTTTGGCGAAGAGAAGACTATGGCTAAAATTGTTTGCTTTAGTTATGCCTTTCTTTTCATCCTCGCCATGGCTTCTGTGATCCATGTTGTTTCGGTGAGCTTCTTAATTTATGCTTATCTCTGTCATACAAAATTATACACTTGTCACCCCCTATGATTCACCTCTCCTTTTATATATATGTTTTTAATTGTGTACAATTATATTTGTATATTGTTTTTATACATATACATTACGAAAAAAAACACAAAATTATAGTCTTAATATTAGTTTTTTCCTGCGATCATTTTCCTTCGACCATGATTTTTCTTCATCTATTAATTTAAAGACTAATCTTTGCTGTTGTTAGTTCAAAGTTATAGTTTAATTTACTTTTATATTATAAATTTGAATATTCATTTTTGAGTGAGAACATTTTAAAAAAAATTTCAATGAAATCAAAGTCAATAATAAGGAGACTTATGATACTCGCACACTCTACTCAATCAAGTGACCTAGACTTCCTTGATATAGAACTATTATCAATTGAAAGTGTTTTCTTAAATTATTTTTTTTAAGAGTTATTCTAACTTTTGTAAAACCATGTGTCTTATGACTCTTATCTTAATCCAGTATATTTAGTTTGTAGTTTTTTTTAAAATATATTAATTTTAATTTCAAATTTGATTTGATTTAATGACTAACACAAAAAATATCTTTATATCTCAAAACACTTTTCTTTTATATATTCATAAATACCTATTTATTATAATTTTAAATTATATAAAATAGTATTTATATTTTTCACTGCACTTGTTAATTAAAATAGTTGTAATATAAATGGGAAAAGAAAAACATTTTCTTAGACTACCAATGAAACTACACATGGAGAAAATCCAAGAGTCAACCTGATGGTCAAATATCCTATATTTACATATTATGAAGATGGTCTATACAATAAAAAAAATTGTGTTCAATCCTTACTATATGCAAAACCTTTTTGACCAACCATAATTACAACACTGTAAGCAAAATTAATCCATAGCCTATTAGCTGGAAAAATATATACCTGCAACAGGAGAAAAAACTACACATTATAAAAATGTAGCCAAAGCTAATGAAAGATTTTTTATATTTAATTTTTACAATTTGATAATTGAGTGTTTTACATTAAAAAAAAAGTATTCTCTCCACATTCTAAATTATATATATATATATATATATATATATTATTTATTTATTTATTTATTTATTTTGTTTCCAATAAAAAAAATTGTGTTCAATCCTTACTATATGCAAAACCTTTTTGACCAACCATAATTACAACACTGTAAGCAAAATTAATCCATAGCCTATTAGCTGGAAAAATATATACCTGCAACAGGAGAAAAAACTACACATTATAAAAATGTAGCCAAAGCTAATGAAAGATTTTTTATATTTAATTTTTACAATTTGATAATTGAGTGTTTTACATTAAAAAAAAAGTATTCTCTCCACATTCTAAATTATATATATATATATATATATATATATTATTTATTTATTTATTTATTTATTTTGTTTCCTTCCTCTTATTACATAACACATACAACTCGAGGATTGAAAATATGTATGCATGAATTATTTTGTTGGAGTTTTCCATATATAATATGTTTGTACAAAAGTACTCATTCAACTTCAAATGAGAGTTGCAACAGGATGTAGATAACTTTATTTTTAAACATGTGGTTATGAGTTATATCATTAATCAATTTATATATAAAAAATATATTTGTTAAAAAGATAGTAACTCTTTAAATAGATTCGAGTACTTTGAAAAATTAGTCTATGACTTTCAATGATATCTTAGTTTAAAAATAAGATACAAAATGATAGTATATGTATGCATAATTGTTATTTTGACTTCTCTTTAATTTTATTTATTTATTAAAATCTACAGGCTGGTGGGGAAGGTTCACTTCGTCCGGAAGGTACTAGTTCAAAACTTGTTTAATTAAATTTAAAGTTTTTATAGCACAATTAGATGAAATGAATGAGGAAAAAGATTAATATAATATAGTTGATGTTGATCACAACTCAAATCTGAATTACATTATGCAGAATGCGCAAATGCATGTGACTATCGTTGCTCGAAGACTCAATACAGGAAACCATGTTTGTTCTTCTGCAACAAGTGTTGCAACAAATGTTTGTGTGTCCCATCAGGATTCTATGGTCACAAGGAAGAATGTCCATGCTATAACAACTGGAAAACCCAGGAAGGAAAACCCAAGTGCCCTTAATTTAATTAAGATCCTTCATACGTACGTACTTGGATGTCAAGTTAGAGAATCAATAAATCTCCCTTGATTACGGATCCTATAATCATGGATGATCATGAGAATCATGATATGAATTAGTCAATCCCTATAGTTAAGCTATTCCATATTTTAGACTTTAATGTAATCAATAATTGTCATTATTGTAGAATCATTGCTATAATGACTAGCATGATTATAGGATCAGCTACTTCTCTTTTTACTGTATATATTCAGGTATTCACACATGTAACATATGAAAGTGAATATACAATATTCAGTTTTCTATCTTGGTATCAGAGCATTAATCCACACTGATGTATGGGGTCCTGCACCAATAATATCATCATCTGGTTTTAAATACTATGTCCATTTCATTGATGATTTCACTAGGTTTACATGGATTTATCCTTTAAAACAAAAATCAGATACTGCTCATGTCTTTATCCAGTTCAAAAATATGGTAGAAAATCAGTTCAACAAAAGGATTAAAACAATTCAGTGTGATGGTGGTGGTGAATATAAAGTTGTTCAGAAGCATGCTATAGAAACAGGGATACAATTCAGAATGTCATGTCCATATACATCACAACAGAATGGCAGAGCTGAAAGAAAACACAGACACATTGCAGAACTTGGGTTGACACTGTTGGCACAAGCTAAAATGCCTCTGAGTTACTGGTGGGAAGCATTCTCCACTGCAACTTTCATTATAAACAGGCTACCCTCACCAGTAACCCAAAATAAAAGCCCTTATTATGTTCTATATAAAAAGGAACCCGACTACAGCTACTTAAAATCATTTGGATGTGCCTGCTACCCTTGTCTCAAGCCTTATAATCAACACAAGTTGCAGTTCCACACAACAAGATGTGTGTTCTTGGGCTACAGTAATTCTCACAAAGGGTACAAATGTGTCAATTCTCATGGTAGAATCTTCATCTCAAGACATGTTGTTTTCAATGAAGATCACTTCCCGTTCCATGATGGTTTTCTTAATACAAGAGTTCCTTTAAAAACACTAACTGAGAATCCATTTAGTTCTTTTCCTTTGCGTGTTACAGGTCCATCACTTAGAGAAGACATTGTTCCTGCTAACAATGACTTCCACATTGAACCAGAACCACTTGGGAACCCAGAAGCTTCCAATGAACAGCTTCAGGAGAATGTTACTGAACCTGCTGACTTAGACACGAACACAAGTCTTCCTGAGGCACCTGCTGAATTAGACACAAACACAGGGTTTCCTGAGGAAGGTCGGATCCACACCAGAAGCAAAAGTGGTATTCACAAGCCAAAGCTTCCGTATATTGGATTAGCTGAAAACTGTGTTGAAGAAAAGGAACCAACAAATGCACAAGAAGCCCTCCAAAGTCCACAGTGGAAAGATGCTATGCACAAGGAAATTCAGGCACTGAATCTCAATCATACTTGGACCTTAGTACCATATCAAGCCCAAGAAAGCATCATTGACTCCAAGTGGGTGTTCAAAACCAAGTACAAAGCAGATGGCACCATTGAAAGGAGAAAAGCCAGATTAGTTGCAAAAGGATTTCAACAAACAGCTGGATTAGACTACGAAGAAACCTTCAGCCCTGTGGTTAAGTCCAGCACAATCAGAATCATCCTTGCAATTGCAGTTCACCTTAATTGGGAAGTAAAACAGCTTGACATAAATAATGCCTTCCTCAATGGTTATCTAAAGCAAACCGTATATATGAATCAACCAGAAGGCTTTGCAGATCCAACCAAACCCAATCATGTTTGCAAATTATCTAAGGCAATCTATGGACTTAAACAAGCACCAAGAGCCTGGTTTGACAGCCTCAAAAATGCCTTGCTAAAATGGGGTTTTCAGAACACAAAAAGTGATACCTCACTCTTTACTCTAAGAGGTAAAAATCATATCACTTTTCTTCTAATATATGTTGATGATATAATAGTGACAGGGAACAACACCAAATTCCTGGAAGCCTTTGTCAAACAACTCAACATTGTGTTCTCCCTAAAGGATCTTGGTCAATTACATTATTTCTTAGGCATAGAAGTTCATAGAGATGCAACTGGTATGTACTTAAAGCAATCCAAGTACATAAAGGACTTGCTAAGGAAATTTAAGATGGAAAATGCATCACCCTGTCCCACTCCTATGGTCACTGGCAAGCAGTTTACAATTGAAGGGGAGAAACTGAAAAATCCAACCGAGTTCAGACAAGCCATAGGAGCATTGCAGTACTTGACAAATACAAGACCTGACATTGCTTTCTCTGTCAACAAACTTAGTCAGTTCATGAGCTCTCCAACTTTAGATCACTGGCAGGGTATCAAGAGAATTTTAAGGTACCTCCAAGGCACTATGCACTACTGTCTACACATTAAATGCTCTGCTTATCTAGACATAGCAGGTTTTTCAGATGCAGATTGGGCCACTAGTGTGGATGATCGAAAGTCTATGGCAGGTCAATGTGTTTTCCTTGGAGACACACTTGTTTCTTGGTCCTCAAGAAAGCAGCAAGTAGTGTCAAGGTCCAGCACAGAATCAGAATATAGAGCCTTGGCTGATCTAGCTGCTGAAATAACCTGGACTCGTTCACTTCTTACTGAATTAAAACTCCCTCAGCCAAGGAAACCGATACTATGGTGTGATAACTTGAGTGCCAAGGCATTAGCTTCAAATCCAGTCATGCATGCTCGAACAAAGCATATTGAAACAGATGTGCATTACATTAGAGATCAAGTACTGCAAGATAAAGTCATTGTAGCTTATGTTCCATCAGCTGATCAAATCGCTGACTGCCTCACCAAAGCCTTGACACATACAAGGTTCAATCAATTAAGAGACAAACTTGGGGTGACTCCTTCACCATCAGTTTGAGAGGGGAAGTTAGAGAATCAATAAATCTCCCTTGATTACGGATCCTATAATCATGGATGATCATGAGAATCATGATATGAATTAGTCAATCCCTATAGTTAAGCTATTCCATATTTTAGACTTTAATGTAATCAATAATTGTCATTATTGTAGAATCATTGCTATAATGACTAGCATGATTATAGGATCAGCTACTTCTCTTTTTACTGTATATATTCAGGTATTCACACATGTAACATATGAAAGTGAATATACAATATTCAGTTTTCTATCTAACCCTATTGCATTGATGCATTTCTCTATTTCTTTATCTACGATTTTATGGGCCTTATTGGCCTTGTGATGAGTTACTATTGTAACCTTTCAAATGGAAAATAGAATAAGCTATCAGTTCAAAATATAAGAATGAATTAAAGTCGATATGTATCATCAAAGTTAATTAATTAAAAAGGTCTTGTGGTGGATTATGACTAGAAAGAAAATAATGGGAAAAAAATTAAATAAACACAACACTAAAAAATATTATTTGTGATGCTTAAAATTGCACTTGGTTAAAACTGCCACAAATTACCGTTCGAACATTTAAAAATTTCCATGTTGATGGGCGCAAAAAAGGGTTTGTTACAGAATTTAGTTAAACGCTAGTTTTGTTGTTAGAAAAAAATATATATTAAAATTCCTAGCTGGTTATTAATCGCCAAAAAAAATACATTTTTTTTCTGTTTATTAAAGGGTCAAATTTTCTCATAATCACATAAAATTAAACTATAAAGATTATTATCTCATTAATACAACTTTAACACTTTCTCACAATATAGGAAGATATTGAAAAATTAAATTCAATTTTAGTGCTAACAAAACTAAATGACTTATTTTTTCCATTGAACCTTCTTTATGGATCTCCAATTATAAATGTTGGGTGATAGTTGTTTCAAATGACTTTAATAAAATCTCATTCCCCTCAATTAGGGATGGCAATGGGGCCCCATGGGGGCGGGTAATAGTAAACCCGCCCCCGCCCCGCTGAATGAAAATTGGCCTCATACCCACCCCATATCTGTGCGGGTATCCATTAAGCGGGTATCCATGAATTTCTTGAATACCCACAGATATCCATGGATATTTATAAAATTTTTAAGAAATTAAAAAAATTATATTACAAATAATTTTAAGTTTATATTTTAATGTCATTGAAATATTAAAAATAAAAATTCAATGTTAATTTTGAACTTTTATTTAACGTTAATTTTGTTGAAATAATAATAAAAATTCAAGATAATCAATAACTTAAAATACATCAATCTCACAAGTAAGTTAAAGTCTCATCACAAAGCTACAATAATTCAATCTCATAATTCCAAATGAAAGTAAACAACTTAAAATACATAAATCTTATTGGTCCAATCAAAGCTAGAAAATTAATCAAACTACATCCAACATAATTTTATAACATGCTTAACATATGTCGGTAACTTCATCGACCTCACTTTTGTAAGAAAATAAGATGAGAGAGTGTAGTTTTAGGGTTATGTGGCACAAGGATAATTAGGATATTTAAGAAATAATATTAAACGGGTACCCACGGGTATGGATATCATCATACCCGCCCCCGCCCCATTTATAAACGGGTAAAAAATTATCCGTCCCCATTATCCGCGGGTATCCAATTAGCCTATCCATTTATTATCCGTAACGGATTTTATCCACAGATACTCGCGGGTGCGGGTATTTTTGCCATTACCCTCAATGTTTATAAATAACTCACAATATTTCATAAATAATATATCTTTTACGGGGGTTTAAAGTCAAAAGATCAAACAAATTTATTATTGACTACACATGATCAATAAATTTCAATCTTTAAGCAATTCCTATATATATCACATCGGTTCTTAATTTTATATTTTTAATAGATTATTTGCTAAGAAGTTTTCAATCATTAAGCCTCATAATCAATTATCTCTTGAGTAATAAACTCTAATTCAATACTTATTTTTAGTTGATCTTAAATTAATTTCATTGCAACAAAGTGCAATGACACAAATTAGTGGATTTTGTCTCATATGGACTCAATACTTAATTAATCATCATTTTATTTTTTAATACAATGGATAATTCACAATGTTAAATATCATAATTTATTATAACATCTCATGTTATGTAAAATATGCAATATGGATAACATCATATTTGACATTATAATCAAATAAAA